ATATATATATATATATATATATATATATATATATATACCTCAGATAGAGTTAAGATAAACGGGGGGAAAACAAGAAAAAAGCAACGTTTTATAGTCTGGAAGATTCATGGGCTCTGGACTTACAATGCTAAGAGCTCTCATTTAGCAATTACTTCAATGTAGACTGCCCTGAGTTGCGATGAGTTTCCTAGATAAATAAAAGCGTCAAAACCTATTTCAATACGCATAAGAAATCTTTACTAAAAGTAGAGTCCATTGTATTATTTGGACTATATTATGTGTTTATGAATCACTGTGCAATAGTGATGATGCCAGGTATTTGCAAAAAAGTGAGAGTATCCTGCCTCACTGGTGGCACCTTCACAAACACATGCAAAGGCAAGTCCATTGTTCACCTGACAAATTACGGAAACATATGGTTCACGTCAAAATTGCAGGGAATTGCATCGGACATAATTTTGTGTCACAAGATGCGTCAAATTTGGTAATGTCCTACACATGAAACGTTTAAAGACGCTGAGTCGTATGACGGACGCTCTTTGAAGCACGTGTTTTGTGTTTGAATATTGTTCTATCGCTGTCACTGACAACATTATTAATAATGCAAAGGGTTATCCGTAATCGTATTTCTATCATAACAGAAAACGATAAAATGGGAATCACCATATATGTTACACGTGAAGATCCGGGTTAGGATGGGTCCACAGCAACCCACGTTTGCCGTAAAAGGTGATAATGATTGTCGCAAGAGGCGACTAACAGGATCGGGTGATCAGGCTCGCTGATTTGGTTGATGCATTTCACCGTATCCCAATCACTGGATTGTCTGGTCCAGACTCGATTATTTACAGACCGCCGTCATATAGCTGGAATATTGCTGAGTGCGGTGTTAAACAAACAAACAAACAAACTTATATATGTTGATTAGCAGCTGATGTCATGGTCGTGTTTTCAATACAATTAATTATGGAGTTTCGTTTGAAGAGGCTGCGGTACACCTGTGTGACAATCGAGATGCAGGGTTTTTAGGGAAACGTGTTCAAGTCAGGATTAGTACGTTATGCAGTAGGAGCCATTGAGGCGGAACTCATTGTCATTGAAGAACTAGCTATTGATAGTGTGTGCAACGAATGACATATAACTGGCTATCAACTGTTTTTTCCTTCATGAAACAGGTATGTTTTATTCATTATATGTTGGCAACAGCATTTATACAAATTCTCTATGTAAGTACTTCGATGACGACGAAAATGCAGAATTTACTGTGTGACTTTGAGCGTGACCTTTGATATCCGGTGCTTCAAATAATGGATTTATTTGGTTCAAATATTGATTGGCCGCTTTGTTCTTATAACTGCTTTATCAATCTATTTTTCAGACATGCCTTGCACATGTAACATAGCATGATAACATTTTTCTGTTATGTTAAAATAAGTAACGATCACATCCCCGCATTTATACATTAATACAAAAAAATATTCAGTTTGGGTTTCGATTATATCTACCGAATAAATCAATATTGTCAGGATCTTCACAAAGAGCATACATCGATAGTGTGTACATGCAAGAAGTAATCTTTTTGAATTGTAGAGGGCCATTGGTGTTTCAATCAGGCCTTGATCTGTTTTCCTACGGTTCGGCGTTCTCTGGCGCATTCGTCTCCTTGTGGCATAAAAGCATGTCGTACATAGTCGACTGCATGTATCGATTCTGTGTTCATTGTGAAAATGGTACTGAAACGTATTCAGTACAATATTCGTGTCACACTACGACTTGGTTCTACCATCGATTTCAACCACAGAATTGTTCGATGACGCATGACTTTTCTCCCGTGCTGTTACCAATTAGAAATAAAATATGTGATTCCGTGTGCCAACAAGCACGTCCATTGTGTGGTTGTACCGAACTAATTCAACCTTATGCATGCCGTGCATTCTGTTACTGGTGAGATTGTTTGCTACAATGTCTAGCCAGTTAGTATCCTGTTTCTATTACGGAACCGAGATGACCGCCTCCGTGGTCTGGTGGTAGAGCGTCCGCCAGGAGAGCGGATGCTCGGGGATTCGATCCCCGGCTGCGTCATAACATAGATGATGGTATTTGTTGTTACCCGTCCTGGAGGGTCTTAAAACAAGGACTGGTCGGCTCGGAGTCAGGTTACTGTGTCTGAGTAGGGGTATTCATGTTAAAGAGTGGCGTGGTATCTCAGTGGGCTAGCATTACAGAATCGGCATTAGTGTGGACTAGTTAATGCAGGCACACACGCACGCACGCACGCACGCACGCACGCACGCACGCACACACATACACATATACACACACATGGACGTCGCTAAGTGCGTTAACCCCATTTCACTTCCCCCTCAACAGACCCTGGAACCTAGCCACTGTCTGGGCGAACCGGGGTTCGAACCTATGACCATAGGTTACTGGCGCGCCAATCGGATCCTTCGATTTTTTACATGATGATAATGCACAAATGCATGAAATTCATTACTAAAGAACGCATCTTTGCAAGGGCGAATAGGCCACTCATGCCCTATGGTATAAAACATAACTGTAGCATACCGCCATCGTTTGTATGATAGGTACGGGGTGTCATATAAACATACATATCATAGTGTCGAACATAGAACAGTATGTACAATACTTTCGCATACTTCAAATAGGTTTATTAGGAGGATGCACATACAAGTAGTCCACATTAGGTCCACATTAGAGCGTATACATATTTTGAGCCTTCCGTATCTCCCTACTGTGCTGAATAGGTTACACATTTAATGCATATTTGTAATAGTAAAGAGAGATATTTGCGTCTCTCTGTTTATAAGACTACACATATGAAACATGAAAATAAAGGACTAATCTCCAATGCCGTTCGGTTTGATGCATTAGTGATAAATATGATGTTCGATGCAAGTCCCTATTTTGACTTGTACCAATTTTCTCCTTGTTTTTTTGGGGTGAACAATTAACTTGCTTTTGCATGTATTTGTGATGGGTGCCACCGCTGGGGCAGGATACGCTCACCTTTGCGTGAACACCCGGTATCATCACCATTAGATAGTGATTCATAAACACATGCTCATCACATAGTAAATTTCAATAAAGTACGCCATTGACAAAAGGTTCTAGAGATAAACTGTGTTTTAATAAATTTATATGTGACTCTTTTGGATGATTTGTTTGTACCAGTATTTCCGTTTTGGTTTTATTAAGGAAGAAAAGGGTGGAGACAGAAGCTCACCTGTTTTATAATAAGGCGAGTGGAGTCACAAAATCGAAACAACCAGTTATTACCGCTGATGTTACATGGTTGCTTGTGACAAACGTACGACTATATTTGTTTTTCTGGCAATGGAGTATGAAGATCATACATTAACATATCTTAGTTACATGTCCGCAAGGCATATTATTTACAACTGACAACAATACAGTGCATGTATTATTTATGATTGAACAAAAACATAGATAATTTGTTTAACACACTTATTTGTGTAATATTAGTGAGCGAGTATGGTTTTAAGCCGCTTTTAGCAACACTCCAGCAATATAACGGCGGGGGACACCAGAAATGGGCTTCACACATTGTACCCATGTCGAAAATCGAACCCGGGTCTTCGGCGTGACGAGCGAACGCTTTAACCACTAGGCTACCCGACCGCCCCTTTGTGTACTTTTAACAACGTGTGGAATTTTAACACATTTCGGTTATTTTGACAACATCTAGCTAACAAATCGGATCCTTCGATTTTTAACATGATGATAATGCACAAATGCATGAAATTCATCACCAACACAGCTACTATCACATAAACTACATTTCCTGTCAATCAAGGTACTTGGCTCCAACAACCCACTTCAACTGGTAGCCTATGACATGAGATTCTTAATTGAATTAGTGAGAGCAATTGGGTTTTACATAATTTATCAAAATATTGTTCAAACTAAAAGTTCGAATTTAAATTTTCTATATGTGACAGTTTTGGATGATTCAAACGTTTCAGATGACCATATTTGTAAGTACTGATCGTGTAATCTATTTGACAGATTAGATTTAAGTGAATGGACGGAGTTCAAACAATGCTAATGGCTTAATGCCATATATACTACGTGGCGAGATATCTCGAAAAATTCATTAAATGTTACAAAAGGGTTTGAAGTAGAGGATATGTCAAGGCAATTATGAATAAAAATGTAATATCACATATGAACGGATTTCTGTCCAGTGAAAGCTATTGTAAGATTATTTACAATAAATAATATATTTGAAAACAATTAGTGTCATTGGGGCATATCTCAGTGCTGAATACTACTCAAAAGAAGTTTAAGATTATTTTCATGTGAGTATGTTAATCTGTCATGACAGCTTCTTGGGAATTACTTCAGATGACTTGCATTTCTGCCAGTGTTGTGTCTATCCGGCTTCCAGTAACGTCAAATCGTAAACAAGTTTCCTGATTTAAAAGCCAAAGTCGCAAGAAGAAATAATTTCCGTGTAAAATTATCTGTTAACATGATTTTTCAAGAAGTCAAAATGTTCCAGAGTAGTTAAAGTGATACGAATGAATGCGTCTAGTACTGGCCAGGTGCATCTTTTATTCCGCATGACCTTTACCGCCAGTCCATCCGAGAGCCATTGTGTACCTAACGAAGCCGAAGAGAAAACACTTGAAGAGTTACCATCACTTCTCTTTGTCGCCCGCTTCCTTCCAGCCAATCAAATTTAACACGGTGGCATCTTGTCGAAGATCGATGGCCTAGTCTTTCCACACACGAAGGGTAGGTTCACCATATCTGTAATTCCTTGCGTAAACCAAGCTACTGGAGATGCAACCAACATATCAAACCACAAACCATTCTTGCGCATGTTTAAGAGAATCCAGAAGAATATATAACATGTTGTTTTGAAAGGTTCCGTATTGTTTGTGTCGATATTAAGTACCCGATTCTATTGTTATGCTGTGGATATGATAAATTCATGAGAAGCTTTACATCCAGATCGATCTCAAAATCATTGTGTTTCCGTATCCATGTATATAGTCTAGCGGGTAGAAAATCGATTTCAGGACAAACACGGTGACAGAGACGGCAGGCACTGCTGGGCCGCGTGTTCGGAACCACGTTTGCTTTTAACTGTCCCATAACAGTGGATTTGAAGATAATCAGTGGAGACTATTAAGGTAAAGTTAGAAATTTATGTTGATTATTGTGTTCATGTAGATATTGTGGGTCAGTCAGCTACACGCGTGAGTGTATAAAGAAAACGGTTTGACATTGGAAGCTATGTCACCGCAAGTTAATACCCGCAGTAAGTAATCCTTGTTTCTCCTACTGTGTGATGTACAAGGTACCACTGTTTTCACGCCGTGAGCGTACATCTGGTTGCCTCATCACAAACGTTGCTTTTCCTGTTGTTGTGGACACCTTCTGAAGTCTTGGTTTGGGGCAGGTTTTATATACATTTTTCTGTTACATTATTCTGTATGAAAATGAATGGCTTTATGAGTCTGAAAATTTGAACAAAGAGATTTCAAAAATACGAATAATGACGCCATCTATCACTTCGACACGAGGGACGGTTTGGTATTTCAGTGGATAAAGCTTTCGCTTGTCGCGCCGAAGTCTCTTGTTCCGCTTCAGACATATGAAGCCAGTCTTGGTGTTGACCGCCGTGTTGTCAACAATGACATTTTGAAATGGCAAGGACCGCCTCCGTGGTCTTGTGGTAGAGCGTCCGCTCGGAGAGCGGAAGGTCCGGGGTTCGATCCCCGGCCGCGTCATACCAAAAGACGTTAAAAGATGGTACTTGTTGTTACCCTGTCTGGCGCTCGGCATTAAAGGGCTAAATCAAGGACTGGTCAGCTCGGAGTCAGTATACTGTGTCTGAGTGGGGTATTCATGTTAAACTGCGACATGGTATCTCGGTGGGCTAGCACTATAAATCGGCATCAGTCCGGACTAGAACAAGCAGCCACACAAACACACACACGTACATGCACGTCGCTATAAAAGTGCAATAATATTGGACGCGACGTTAAACCCCATTTCACCTCACCTCACCTTGAAATGTCAAGCAGTACAGTGTAGATGTCATTATGCACTTGTTTTGTTGCAGAGTATCTGAAGCTATGTTGACATATGATACAATTTGAAACATTAAACTCCTTGAATATAATTTTACAGTGGAATCAACGATTCCAGAAACTTGTTACTCTCACATGTAATCACGCGTGGGAGAATTTGGTTAAACTCGCTTTGCATTACTTTAGGTTATGTGTGAGCAAGCTGCCACAGGTCATGCAGGTCTGGGACGTTATCTCACTGTTGTGAAAGCAACAGATATGAGATCTACGGTCGACAACACTCTGCACTACGAATTGCTTGACCAGAGTATTATATCTCCATTGCATTACTGTAGGACCCATTTGCAACTATACTTTCATTTCGTAACTGTCGTCAAGGAGTGGTGGGGTAGCCTAGTGGTTAAAGTGTTGGCTCGTTACGCCTAAGACCCCGGTTCGATTCCACCTTGACTAAACTTTTAATACATTTGGACATGATTTCTCCCGCTCCTCAAAGCTATCTGATAGGATGGTTAAGTGTAGCCTAGTGCCATTCGAATCGGGATAAAATACGAACTGTGGCAACGAATGAGGAAAAGGCACTGGTCGTAACAGAATGGAAAGGCAATGATGCATTGATAATCGAGAATAGGACCCATGATTATCTAAACTGGAGCATCGGTGGCTTCTAAGGCGCCGTAATTCGCTTTGCAGAGTTGCGTCCCTTAGACGTGTCAGGATCGTATAATCGTGGGTTCGATTAACCGATTTGCCCTGATGATGTTTCCACGTTGTTCGGGCGATCATTTTTGTCATGTAAGTGACTCGAATACTTATGGTGATATTGTTCACAAGGACACAGATTACATCGTATGCTCATAGACATGAATGAAAGCCAGATTTAATACCCACGTATGTGTTATGTTACTTTTTGTCAACCTGAACGTTTTCTCATAGGCTGCGATCCGACGACAGTACACATATTGATCATGTATTCATTGGCCCTCGGTATCGAACGAAATCAAACAAATACTACGTGAAGTTTGTTTGTAAACTTCACTTCTCCATGCATATTGTTATTCGCCGCCTGTTGGGTAAACGCCCTCTGCCCACTGCGTTGATTGTGTTGAGGATTAACCGCGTGGCATGCCTCCAGTCCTGAAATTAATTGTCAACAAGAATTAGTTTAATTTATGCTTTTTTAGATTTGAAGGACAATCCGGAAATGTTTCTTTTCAGAATAATTAATTTATTCATAATTATCTTAATGAGTTTATGACATGCATCGACTGAACTCCGAATGTAAGACATATTAAAGAGTGATTTATTCCAAAATCTAAATACAAAGGTCAACTCCTATTTCATTATCGATTTAGTGTAAATTGATATTTCGCATTAAAAAAGGTTTCGTTATTACATAAAAACAATATTATATAAGCTGAGACGAATTTAAGACTTAGTCATGTAGAGGTGTCGCCGAGTCCACACAAAATGCATTAACTGGATTCACTGGAACCCGTCATCATTTCCAAAAAAATTATTTTTCGTTTGCTGAGTTTTTAAATTTTAGCTGGGCTGGTCGCATTAACTTCATAAAGCATGTTGAAAAGCGTATCAATTTTGTGACGCATGAACTTCGTGATATGCTGTCCATGTATGTATTGATACTCAGGTTAGTTGAACATAAAAAAAGGGTTGAGGAACTTGAACTTTTTCTTGTTAATGAAGTAACTATGCCTGGTCGATGGCCACATACATGCATAAAGTTTATCATTTAGATTTGTAAAGTGTGATACCAGCATAACAGCAGTTTGTTTTCTACAAATATTGAAGCATGACTTTCCGTCCAACTTTCTTCAAGGTTGAGTCTTGATGTTAGTTTAGACTCGCCCCTCCTTTTAAAACAAACATTAACACGATCAGGTCAATGAAAAGATCAATCCACGCCACTTTTATGTTCCTCGTTAACTTGTAAAGTGAAGCAGTGTTTGAGTCACCAATCAATGGTCTGTAGTCTGTATTCCTGGAAGTGCCGTTCAACCAACAAGTCTTTACAATAAATGTGTGCGACCAACCCGCTCCTCAAAACTTAAACGCAATAACCTCAAGATCTAGAAACCACTACACATTAGTTTATAAAAAAAATCATAAATCAATTGTTAGTATGTTGCGTAATGTTAAAGGCCTGACACTGGCTATTTTTTAAATGCAACAACACTCGCACGGCATTTTCTAATCATTCTGAGGGCGTGATGGAAAATGCTAAATGTAAAATTCTTTGGAATAGCCCCGTAGACAGCCTCAGACCTCTCCAGGCCAACAAACCTGATCTTGAGATTTTTAATGAATCCAATCAAATCATATACATCATTGAATTCTCTGTCTCTTTTGACACTAACGTGATTGACAAGAATCAGGAAATACATGGTAAATATGCGGACCTCGCTCACGAAATGTCACGCTTGCATCCCAAGTACCAAGTTGTCCGACTCCCCAGTGCTCTCGGTGCCTTAGGTTTGCTACCTCTAATCTGTTGTCTGACATTAGGAGAGTACCCAGGCATTCGCTGTCTGGGGTGCGTGTAGAGGGGCAAGTACCCTGAAGATAACCAGCCTGACTGTGATAGGATCACTCACACCCTTTTTGCATTTAATTATTTTAATCTGTATATAATAATCATAACGATGATAATGATTATGCTTATAATGATAATGAAATACTCTTTAAAGGGTATCATCTTTCAACGTCTTTTGGAATTTTGCGGATCGAATCACCGACATTCCGCTCTCTTGGCAGACGCTCTATCCGCTGGACCACACAGGCTTTGCCAAACTGAGAAACAAAGGTAGTCGATGTGCAGTCTATTCTCAAGGCACACATAACTCCCACAAGGCTACCCAGTGTGTTAACTTAACAATGACGTATATGTATAATTAATAGTATGGAACGTTTAAAAATACGTTTACCACGTATGAAAATACGTGTTATCCAAAGAAAAACATAATATTGTGCTAATATTGAGCAAATATTAATTAAGAATTGACCTTCACTTTGTGTGAGTTCATTGGAGTATAAACCTTCAGAGAGTGAGGGCCAACTGTATGAACGTCGGAGCTTGCGACCTCACACAATGTGAAAGTCGATTCTTATAATTTATTTAACACCATTTCTTACCTCAAAGGATGTAGGCCAAGATCTAAACACAATTGTATTTAGAAGGTGTGACTTCATGTTCACACTGACAGCCAAACAACAACCAGTTATTTTGCGGAATAAAATAGTTCCTCAAAAGGAGAGGTGACATGAGCGTATGGATGCACAACTAGCTCTTCAGAAACATCTTACAAACATGTGTTCAAATCATATCCTCATTAGATGAGAAAGGTCTGTAAAGAACTACCTCAGTAAGTCAGTCACAATGACAGCGCGTCGTAATCCATTTACATCAAGTACAAGACGTCAAAATGGCCGACACGATAAACGTGACGGGAGACATTTCCGAAGTTGTTAATGAACCTGTGGCGGTTACATGTGTTAGTCATCATTGATCAACTGGCCAATCATTGAAAGGTGATTAAAGATGCGTCAAACAGACACTAAGGTAAATTCATAGATTGCTGGAGACTGTCAATGTCAGCCTGGACACGGATCGAGTCGATACTACGATAACTTGGATGTGCATTTCTTCGTTTGGTCATTAGGATGGGCCGTAGCGGGGATGTTCGTGAACAATCATGCAGTAAAGCTCTCTGACTTTTCTCAATGCATACTGAAACGCTGAGCCCAAGATTAAAGGTTCTGAAAGATCAGAAATAACGCTTATGTATGTTTTCGTTTTCCCCAGGAATGTGGAAGTAGTCCGTCAGTGTTAACGTCATTTCAAGAACACTGTCTCGTGTGAAACGTATGAACGTCAATTTCGCGGTCATGTGACCGACCTCTCGTCCAATGGAAAAGCCGTATATCGTGTAAACCTTAAATTAAAAAAATATTTTATGTTGTGTGGCGACATTCAATTGTGACTTCTTGTAGTAATATGACGTCAGACAACATGATAACAATGTTATATTTATAAACCGATGTTATTTCCACTCCCACTTGCGTAAGTGCGCGACCTG